AACTTGCTCTGCCACTCAAAGGACAAAATAATTACCAAAATCACTAAGACCAGCCTCTCCTACAGTTTTTGCCCATATTGGCTTTACAACATAGAATTGAAGGCATTTTGCAAGTTTACTTAGCTCTTGCAAAACAGCCAACTGGCTTTTAAGAAAAGTAATCATAAGAAAGTCCCAAGACTGCTTTACACATACCTCCATACACACTGGACAGTTTAAGCAATCATTTCAAGTAATTGGTGAGTATTCTTTATTCAAGAGTGCAGAGAGCACAACGTAATGCTGCAACCCCAAACCTTCCTCACACTTCAATTACCTACAAATATTAAAGCTGTCAGAATCGTTCTTCCCTCATGGTTTTCCAAGTCATGAGATGAATATTGCTGTCACGAGTTGTCAGAAATAGAACAAGGGAATGAGCATTGATAATTTAGTAGGTGACAGATGAGGGGAAACATAAGATGTACATACAGGAAAATGTAACACATCCATAATTTTCTTTGGGACCAATTAACATCAGAATTGGCTTGCATACTCAATCAGAATTGCATTGCAAATTTTTGTCATGAAAATGGGGATCTCTTCTAATGAAAGCCAACAAGACACTTTTTTGATTTAATAGCTAAATACATTCTGAACTACAGCACAGAATAATCATTTTGTCAAATAACAACCATCAGCAACAATGAGACTTAGGAGCATAAATATTTAAGAAGTATTCCAGATGTTCATTCTGTGAGCTGAGTTTTAATGTCTCCTCCAAATGACAACAGAAGACCAGAATCACCCATGCTATGGCCTTACAACTCAGTGCCGAGACAACTTCTTGTCTTCTCATCACTTAGCTGTTGAAGTGACACTAACAATTAGCAACAGGTACCCTTCACAAATTGCTTTCTTTCCTTTCCTTCTCCAATCTTCTGCTTTCAGTTCATTAAATCCCTTCCCTTTCAACACCTGAGCAGACACACTCTAGTCAAAGACTATGTTTGTTTCAGGACATTTAGCCCCTGTTCTCAGAGTGACACTTGTGGGCTCATGTCCTCATGTCACCCACTCTGCATACTACATGCAACAGCAATAGAGGTGGGAGAACGGGGAGTTCTGTGGTTGGGGGTTGTTTAAAGAACATAGATTTTTCTCACCTTGTTTACTTATTTCCTCTGCTCCTAACCATTAATACTACAACTCCACTATTGCTCAAGGTACTGAAAGCAACAGTTTGTGCCACTGTCACCTAACCAACTTAGCTGGTGAGGTTGGGCAGAACCCCTGCAGTCAGCATTCCAGTACTGAGCAACAACTGCACACACCTTTCACACCTAAAAGCAAGCAAAATCATGCTCATGTAGTAGTAGCTCATGGCAAGTGCCCCTGTGAAAATAGCAGATAGTCCATAGAAACAGCTGTTGCTGGATTTCCTCACTATCTGTTCTGTGCCACTTTACCGGTACCTCTGCAGAACAGGACATCTGCTAAAAATAGGGCAGAAAAGTTGACAGACTGTACAGAAATTGAGACATTTTTCATGGCTTTCCTATTGCCTGAAACCCCTTCTATAAGAGCATCAACTCACTGTTCACTCAGCTGAAAAGCTGCAGTGCCTAAGTACATGTATTGAAAACAGTAATACTCCACTGAAACAACATCCCAGCAACCATCACCTCCAGTAGTATTGCAGAAATGGTCAGTAATAGAAGCCAAAGACAGAAAAAACCCTGAGGCAGCCCAATGAGTTGTGGTCCCAGCCTTCTGCTACACATCTCTTTGGAGATGCTTGTTTTGTTGTGCTTACGTTTGTGAGAGAAATTACAGGCAGGACTACTTCTGCCATCCAACAAGTAATTTGAAGTACTGAATTACTTATAAACTGCTTGAAATTATTTAACCTCCAAAGTGCTGATGAATTGCTTCTTCCTGATGGAAGTCATCTTAAAATGTCATTAAACCCATACAAAGGTAGTCACTGTCACCTCCAGAAAACTTCTACACAACAACAAAAAAATCCCCACATCCCCAAAGCACAGTCATCAGAAAAATAAAAAAAGACAAATGCTTCAATTCAAGGCAGGCTCTTCAGTAGAGAATTAAATATGTTGCTATAACACCAGTTATATTTTTCCCTGCTACTTTTATATTCAAAGCCAACCACAACAATCTGCTGTACAAACTAGCTAGCATATAAACAGTAGATAAATGATAACAGTCCTTTTTGTTATTAAAAAAACCATCTCACTTCTACCTAAGCTTTAACATTTTGCTTCTTTCACAAAACATCGATAACACAGGTCCCTTAAAGGAACAACTGAAAACTAGAGACAGGCAATCAACAGCTCCGATCTCATAAATGAAGTCATGAGTTCAACTGCCTTCTAAACAACATTTATTTCCACTGAAAAGTAAGTTTTGCCTGCTCTTGACATACTGACATCCCAGTCAGTGTGAGGGAAGATAATAAGATCTGTCAGTCTCTGGAAAAACTTTTAACAAACACAGCTTTTTCTTAAAGAGTTGTTTGATTTGATTTCGCAAGCTTTACGAAGTCTCCCGAGGGATATATTTTTCTCCACAGAGCCAGTGGTCTGTTAGAGACACTGTAACAGTGGAAGACTTAACCCCATCAGAAGATACCATCTCTCCCTCTTAATGCAATATGAAGCCGGGTTTACTACAGTTTCATTTTAAGATATTTCCCCTGAGAATCAAGTTCAACTGCAGTTTATGCCTAAAGCCCAGCAAATGAATATACAGTATACCTTAAGTATATTTTTTTTTAAATTTCAATGGCAAATGCAGCTGAAATTCCCCAGAGGAGATGAAAATGTTTTCGTAAATTTATGAAATATTAAGTCCCAGCAATTTATGCTGTGTTGAGAATAGCAACACAACTCCTCCTTGAGTGGTTAAACATCATACCACTAAGTTAAAGACCCAGATTTGCCTTCCAATTAACATTTTTGTTTCAAGACTAACTCTAAGTAATTTGAAAGTTCCTCCTGCCGTGCCAATTACATTTTAAAACTTTTTCCTGTGAAGTTTAAGTGCACTGTCTTATTTGACACACAAAGTACTACTGAAAACAACCCAGAGCAGAATAAAAGTGGTTTTTTGCTTTAGTATCAAGCACCTGGCGAGTAAATGGAAGGTTCCTGAAAAGCCTTAAAGGCTATTAAAAGCATTCCTCTTTTTCCTTGGGGATTTAAAACTCAAGTTATTTTCATTCTTCCTTTTAAGCCTATGAAATTACATCATCTCTTACCCTTTGATTTATACTTTACAGTATTTTTTCCGCATTGTTCCTCAATTTGCTAAATCACTAATAAATAAAACTCCTGTTGGCTCCCATCATGAAATAATGAGAGAGGAAGTGTCCAGTATTACATGTCTCCTTGTGAAACAGGACTATACATTATTTTCAGTTAATTACATATACTAATGTAGTATAACGTTAATAATTTGCAATGTATTATTTTTTTCAGCTACATAGGTCTTTGACTTAACGTGTCATATCTTTGAGAAATAAACTAACAAACTGCCTTGGAAGGGTCTCTACTGTGACAGTATGAAAGTCAGTGCTTTCTTTCTATTTGCCTTGCCCAGTGTTTGTTGACTTCCCCACAAATACTGCGTAAGTCTACAACACAGGGTCTATTCCTTTCCTGGATGCTTCATGCTCTCTAAGCCCAAGGTAATTTTACCAAAGAAGTGGACACTAGCCCTCTTACTGGCCCTACGTCTGGGCCTGTTGCATTCAGAAGATCACTGCAATTTTGTTAGCTCCCTCTTGTAAAAGGCTGTTGTTCACTCCCATGACACAGCTGCAAAAGTGAGATTTAACAAAGTCACTGTGGTTGACAACTATTTAGAACAGGACTTGCAAAAGGACAAAGAACACTGGCTGGAAAAAACGGGACGCTTGTCCCCAGTCACAGAATCCTCTCAACCTTTGGCAATGCTCCTTATATTGCAGCCCAGGGTACTGCTGGCCTTTTGTTTTGCCACTAGGATTCTTTGCTGCTTCATGGTCAGCTTGTCCACTAGGATCCCAAGATCCTTCTGGACAAAGCTGCTTTCTAGCTTGGCAACCCCTACAGTTTACTGGTGCAAGGGGGTGTAACTCCCTAGCCACAGGACCTCGCATTTCCCCTTCTTGAACTTCCTGAGATTTCTCTGCTCAATTCTTCAGCCTGTCAAGGTCCCTCAGAACTCAGTAGCACAATCATCAGTGTATCAGCCATTCCTCACAGCTTTGTGTTAACTATAAATGTGCTGAGGGCATACTCCATCTAATTATCAGGTCGTTACTGAAGATGTTGCACAGTGCTAGCCTCAGTACTGTGCCCTGCAATACAGCAGTCCAAGAGACAGACATATGGAAAGAAACTAGTCAGAAAAAAGCCCGTTGGTTCACCTACTTCAGGTGCACAGACAGCAGCTGCTTTTGCCATGTGATACTTCTACGATAGTGCACACATAATGATAAGACTGCAAAACAGTAGTGCAAGGTCTTCATACAGCCATTTCCACAAAGCAGGTCTTGCTTCTAGAATGCATATGAAACTTCCTGTCTGCCTAAATCAACAATCCCTTCTAGGTCACAGTTCTCCCCAAATACCAGCAATGAGCACAAACACACACAGTCCTCAAAGCTGCAAAATCTTTCAAAGTTAAAAACGTAGCCTTCCTGCTACACAGGAAGTAAATCAGGTCAGCTTTTGGTTTTCATTTTCTTGGGGCTCTTATTTTCTTCCATCTGAAGGGTTGTAACACAGGACCACATCTGTGTATGGCTAAATCCACAAACAGCAGCAAATTCTGCTGTGACATAGTAAAGCAAGTGGTAGTCTGATAGGGCAAATTGCACTGTTAACCACACGTTCCCATAACACGTCATTGGTTAAGTCAAGACAAACTTATATTCCCGTAAAAACCTCCAGAGCTCAGAGTCACAAGGCTTCATGTCTGTGAAATTTTCTTACCTGAGAAAGTCACAAAATTTCTTACCTGCAACAAATGACTGATTTACAGGAGAGTGCCAAGTCCAGAAAGCTCTGCCTGACTTCAAATGAAAGGGCATACTTCAGTGTCTGGCCATCAATAATCAGGGCAATATCATTTTCCTTGCCCAGTGACTCCCCCAGACTGGTACAATGTTGAGTCAGAGAAGCTCTTGTTGCCTGAAAAATAAACAGAAAAAAAAAATCATGTTTCTTCCTAATATAAGAAAAGTGCATCCAAGCTATAGCAAGGCATCTCCAGACTATGCAACAGAACACAGTATACATGCACCGAAATTAGCACCAAAATGAGTTAATGCTTTAACAGGACCTCGTGCAGACAGTGATTTGTGTCACAGATCAGCAGAAGCTGCCACTGCATGCCTAGGAACACACCTTGTTCCAGTGCAGGCTCCAGCATCTCCCACTACAGAGTCCTACATGACACATGTGCTCACAGTAGCTGTGATATATCACTTTCAACTGTAGCCTGAATGAATGAATCAGCTTTCCTGGGCCAAAGAGGTAGAAGGAGACTCAGGTCATGTTCACCCAACAGGGAGGGAAATGGGGGGAAAAAAAGGAGGGGAAGTTGCTTTGCAATTCATTTTCTCTCAGCCCACTCATTGGTATGGTACTCAAAATAAACTCACTCTGATTCACTAGGCAACTAACCCCAAACTGGAAGCAGAGCACACAGTTCAGCCATTTCAGACATAGATTAACTTTTGCACTTTTTTCATTATAAGAATGACTGCATTATACCCTGTCTCCCTATTAAAATGTGGGGGATTAGATTTATGACTTCATGGCATGCTTTATTTAGGCTGTACCTAACAACTTAACACCAAGTATATGACTGAGCTTAAACCATTAGATGCCAGTGCTAGTAAAACAAGGGTATGTCTCTGAGGAAGAAAGCTGTTTTATCTAGTTCAACAATACTATGCAGTAGCCACACAGTCAGAAATCCCATGGATGGTATAAGGGATACAGTTTGGGCGATGCTATCAGTATCAGAATTTTATCCAAAGAACCTTTGGCCCCAGGGTCTTGAAGTGACATTTCTTTTTCTTTGCTGCTTCCTCTCAGTCTTGCTCAAACACGTTCCTTGCTTTCAAACGCAGAATTAACCCCTGTCCCACAGGATTAAAAGCTTCTCTGACTCTCTGAAACCAAGGGAGCCAGTCTCTGCTCTTACTCCCTGTCTAGCACTTCGGAGACAACACCCTCATTTTTCACCTGACCCAAAGGAGGGTGATTGGCCATGGCCCAGCTGTGCCCTCCTACAGAGGCAGAGCAGATCCTGAGGGCAAGTTCAGGAGGGTTACTTGATACCCATGATCTGTTGCTCAAAAGAAAAAGCCACATGGAAACAGGAAGACTTACAAAAGGTGGTGTTTCTCATCAGATGAGATTACACATCTGTCCATAGCTTATTATCATGGCTACACATACACCTCATCCAATTCATGCCCTGGTCATTGACCTTACCCATCTTACATCTAAGATGACACAGAATTAATAACAGGGCTTATAATACCCCAAAACACTATAAATCAAGGATTACAAATCAGGCACTTGATTAAACCAGCATTTTGTAAAGCTCTCAAAATACCCTTCCATTCATGTGGCTAACTTACAACCTAATACCTTACACAGTCTTAAAACAAGGCACAAATTATTATTTTTGTTTCTTTCAACTACTTACAAATGCTGTGTTTGCTATGAAAATAAACTACTGCCCCTGCAGGCCAGTGCAATTAAGCATAATTAACTAGGCCTCAGTCGCACTGGGTGTATAATGAAGACTTCCTAAGTAAGCAGAGGAACAAACATTTGGAAACCATGGGGAACTACATCCTTCTGTGGGTAACTCACTACTGATAACTAGAGTAGAAATCCCGACTTTGATACCTAGCTTTGATTCTATGTTTGACATCAAGGGATAAGCTTCTTCAAGTCACATCAAGCAAGACTAAATCAATCCTTTACTAGCCCAAGCATGATGGAGCAGAAATCACCAGTAATCCTAAGAAAGTATCTGGATTAACTCAGACCTGTGGAATACCTCTGCCTTTTTTCTACTGAGTACCCATCAAGCATAAACAAAGTTTGTCAAGGGTTCTGTTCCGACAAAAATAGAATATTAGAAGTGAATATTACAAGCATTTCACTTTGTCATAATAAACTTGGTTTTCGTTCCCTCAAGATTTCCTGTAGACACAGAGAGCATCCAGTGGCTCTGGGGAAACGTGGAGAGGCGCCTGCCAATCCGACCTTATCCTACTAGCATATCCATTTCCACCAAATATTAGAAATACACAGTTTTACTTAAAAGTCAGAAGACACAACAATAGAGAAATCCATCAGTTTAGTAGCCCCGATTCAGTGGGCTATTCCAATGGACATGGACACTTCATTAGCCAGTAGAGGACATGTGCACATGCTTAAGCTGTCTGTTGAATCAGAGCAACATTATCAGTTTAGAGCTTTACAAGCACCTAAAAAGTCATTCATAAGACCACCAAGCTTCAGAGCACAAACATGAAGAAAATATCAGTTATATTGCAAAAAGTCAACCACAGAGCTCAAACTGAAGAAAATAACGAAATTAGGTTTTCATTTATTTTTATTCTACTTTTGCACATTTGACATGATTGGAGGAGTTTTTTCTAAAAATATGAACAATTCTGACTCACACAAATGCATTTAATGGTTAATGTTATGGTCTCTGTGCTTGAGTCAAATTCAAGACAAGGTGCTATATTCCATAATATACCTATCCCACCCACTTTTCCTGTTTGTTATCCATTTCCACTTTAACAAGTCACACCCACAAATACAAACCTTGAGCAGAGCATTTACTTGCATTACTGTTTTAAAATAAACTTTCAGATTTATTGTTCTCTGTGTGCAGAGTTTCCATCCCAAATATGGAGCAATATTATTAGTACACTATTATAAATCTCCGTAACAGAGTATAATTTGTTGACAGGCAGAAAACAAAAACATCCTGAAGCAGAGTTTGTGTGGTCTTCTCTCTGGACTGCACTCTCACGATCTTTCGCAAACCTTCTGATAGCATGCCCATATATTCTCACTTTCTAAAACCTCAGAAAAAACCAAAAGCCTTGCTGTGCCTAACTTAGTGTCTGAATTACAACACTGACAACCAAATTCTGGGATTTTCCAGACTATTATTTAGTAGTTTAACAAATACTAATACTTTTCACATGATGCTCAAATTCAATTGGGAAGTCAATGCCATCAGAGATGATTAATCAGAGCTCTGCTGACTTCACTAAAAACAAGAGCAGACTCCTCACACTGTAATAAAAAAATATTAGGACCTTGACTACATAGGCTATACAACAGATCTTAAGCAGGGGGTTTGTGTGTGGCTTGTGCCTTTGAGTGGGTTTTGTTGTTGTTTCTGTGGGGGGTTTGGGGCTGCTGGTTTTTTTTTAGAAGCAGCCCACCATACTGCCCATTCCCTTCCACAAGAGAAGTTTGCACACTACAGCAAGAAATGCTGGTGTGCAACATAATTCAGTATCCAGCACACAACAACAGTATCAGGTAGCTGCCAAGACAGTAGGACTTGCAAAAACTGTGTGCAAAAGACTTGAGCAGGATAACAGCCATTCCCTTAGCTTGTCTTACAAACAAATACCCAGAGAAGAACTGGACAATTATTCTGAGATGATCAGGTCCAAATCTCTTCTGCTTCCTCCCCTGCATTTCCCTAGAATTGCTCACAAAGTCACTGAAATGACAGCAAGAGATAGAAATGATAGTTGATCAAGCAGCATCTACATCTGCTACACAAGTATTTGATAAGCTCAGATACCAGAGTTGCACAAAATCTCAGCAATTTGCCGTCTGTTCATCCAAACCCATTTATGAGACTAAGCTCACCATGGTGTTTAAAGAACCACAACATACAAAATACTAGGCAAATATTGTCATACAGAAAGTGCAAATATCACTAATTAAATAAGGCAAGACAACAAGAACCCACTCCTAAAATACGTCAAATGACTATCACTGATTCAACACAGAACAATTTGCTTTTATCTAATAGCACCATGATTCTGCTTGATGAATATGATCTCCTACCATGCCAAGAAAAACATCATATGGAGGACCTAGAGATATTAGGTGGCCTCTCTCAGATCAATTTCACAGCTTTGAATTTAACTTCAACCTGAAATTCCTTCACAGTTAGTCAAGTAATTTAAAACGTCTATATACAAAGAGTCCTTGATCTGCATAGCACGTCTCAGGTTATCACACATTCAGACCAAATCTTGCTTTCAGATACTAGATAAACAGATCACATCAGTATTTTTGTCTCCAGGGGCAGCTGTAAGTTCAGATGAATTCGACCATCAAGAGCTATAACGAGTGGTGTAAATAATTATTCAAGGATGTTTTCAGTCCTGTAACAAACTGATTATGTGGGAGGGAGGGAACTTGGTTAAACAGGGAAGAAAACATACCCTGAAGGAACATCTATCCTGTCAGCAGTACCTCTATCTCCACACATGTACCACATAGTTCAAAAATCAAACAAATCTTTCTACAAGCTTTGTCTAATCACAGAAAAATAAACTCCAAATGTGTCAATCAGATATACCACCTCAAACACACATCCTGTGTAAAGTGTGTTGCAGGTAGTTCAAGATCACAGTAAGGAGGAGCATCAAACAGCTGACCACTTGAAAAGTGTGTGGTTAAGTGCTAAAGCAAACTTAACACAGCATGCCAGATGGCTGCATGCTAACCTTCAGGCTCTCAGTGAAGAAAAGCAGTGTCTTTCTTACGGAGTATGTATGCAGTCCCCACTGCAAGCCATGAGCTGGGGGCTCCAGGGGGAGAAGAATTAGGAGGAAAGAGAAGCCTTTTGCAAATTAAGAAGTAAAACTGATTTGTTCAAGGTTTCACTAACATGTCATCTCCCATCTTGAAGATTAAATATCACAGCAGTGTGTGCTGCCAAGAAGGGTGGACCTAGCATTTCAGCCTTCCAAAATAAAACCTGCAGTTTTCCACAGCATTGCTTTAATTTGAGGAAAAAGTAAGAGAAACTGATTATGCGAGTCGCATCTTCAAAATGCCAATCTTCACTGTAAACCTTTGTTCACTAAAATAGATTTTTTAAAAAATTTTTAAAA